ACAAGTTAAAGAGAGTATTTTTGGTCGAATATGGTATGTATTGTTTTTAAAATATAATTGTATAAATAAATATTCATATTAATGAAATACATATGTTTTACAGTTATTTGAAAAAACTAATTGACAATTCTCAAATGAATGAAGAAAGTATGAAAATGCTACAATTTGTTTGTTGGGAGAACCCACTGAGTAGTAGTATGGTTTTAACTGAAATATTATGGCACATTATGTATACATATTGTCAAGAGCTCAAATTTTATTTGGATTTACTATTTGTTATATTAAGTATTGAAGATTCATGGCAAGTTTTACGTATTCAAAACGCCATGACTGGAAATGGTTAGTGTTATGAATTTTCTTTTAATTGCACACTACTAAATCATATTTTATTTATTTTAGAAGATAGAGAAGGTGTCCTTGATACAATATTGCGTCACAAAAATCAATATCAAAGACGTTCATATCAATGTATCAAAGGATTAGTTGGGTTATTCATGAGGATACCGATGGCTCATAAAGTTGTACTGCAAAACACAGATCTCAAAAGAAAATGGGTGGAAGCAGTTGATTGGCTTCAGGAAGAACTTAATAGAGTACTATTGTTATTTTTATTTTGTTAGTATTATCTCAACTTACTCTTGTTGTATTTTAGAAAACATTGACTGGAAGCCAATATAATGCGTATAATAGTTGGACACCCCAGTCTAATGAAAACACCAATAGTTTCTTCTTAGAAAGATCAACCAGTGCTCGTAAAGTCCTACAAAAAGCATTTGAGTTCTGTCCATCTGAAGTAAATTAAAACTAAATATATAATGGATTTAATCAAATGTTGCATTTATAAAAAACTCATATCAAATTTTAATATTCSGTTTAAAGGATTTTTCAATCCAAACATTGACTACACAGGATATAGAAGATTCATCTGATGAAGGTGACGAACTGGGAATCCAACATTCTTCTAATACAATGTCAACTCTGGGGAATGAACCTTTACAAGTAGTTCCAGACATTGTACCTGAGTAAGCTATTTGTATAATTTATTTAAAAGAAGCATATTATAAACTAACATAATTTAAATATAGGAATGATGACGATTATGATACTTCTGTTCCTATTAACTTCAACGGTATAGATGATTTTGATAATGGTGAGAGTAATAACGTCGAATTGGTTAACTCTCGAATTGTTGAATCGTCAACGGATATGCATTAACAATTGGAATACAAGTTATTGTTGTTTGGATAATATTAAATGATACATCATATTATTATTTATAGAATATTGTATTTTAGTCCATTTGCAATTATATAGTTATCATTTAGCACAACCAAAGCGATCAATAATTATTTCTGTACACGACAATTTAATGAATATTATAACGATGTGTCTTAGGTTGTTAACATTTGCTGACCTAATATTAAATTTTAGTTTTTTAATTAATAATTAGTAAATATTCAATATATGAGTTTTGAAAAAACAACCTCCCGTACAGAAGTTTATCGCTGACAGATTTTATACTTGAAAAAAAAATTGTTTTATGCTGTAAAGTTATTTTGTGTACAGATTGGAACCATGCACATTCAAGTTGTTATGTATACATGTATAAATATATACTTCTGCGTGAGCAAAAATCCTACACTCTTTATACTGTCTTTTATTAAATTTTTATTATTATTATTTTTGTTGTAAAATGTACATTAATTTTGCTTTTTTACATTATTATCATTATTACTATTATTATTATTATTATTATTATTATTATTATATTTATTAAAAGTTGTCTGTATTATCTAGCTCTCAATATATCAATACCAAGTTTATATTTTAAAACACCAGCGTTTATATATCATACAAATATTGTAATGGTACATTTTCATATTTTTAAATTTCAATGACACATTTTTGTTGTATGTAAAATAATGTACTCCTTTATATGAAGAAAAAAGTGATAATCGATTTATAAGGTTTTTTGTGTGAAATTCAGTTTACTTATTATGTATTATACTGATTGTAAATTGTTATACATAATAAGTATACCATTTAACCCACATACTATTAATAGAAACTCAATTATAAGGTATGCTTTTTACTGAATTTATTGAGGATAAGTCTTATTAATGAAGTTTGATAATTTTTTATGTGTTCCAGTATCATAATTCAATAATAATATTTTATTATTATATATATTTTTTTTTTATTTTGTGATAACTTTCATAACCAAAAGTATGGTAAGGCTGGAATTAATGTTTGTACATTGTTAACTACTGTTATGAAAAGAAAAAGTGTATAAAAAATAATTATGAAGTGTATTGCATTTAATGTAATAAAAAATGATATTTTATAAAGAATATCTTTATAAACATTGATGTATTATTATTCTATTTTATGTTGCACCAAATCCATTTTGAGTAGACTACTTTTACCTCGTTGGTATCAGGTTATCAGAAATGTTTTGTTTAGTTTGAATTGGATAACAGGTGTCTGGATCACTGAAGGCTGTTCCTCGTATTATAGGTTATATAGCCAGTATAATAATATATATTATTATCAATTATAATTTATTACTACTATTACAATGTTACTTGATAATAAATTTGTTATATGCATAAACGCCTTGTAAACGGGTATCTAGGTGCTCAGGCACGCAATTGAAATTTGTTTGGGGTGCAAATAACACCATAAAAGACAAATGCACCGATTTTACAATGTGTTTTAGATTCTGAACAGATCAATGAATGTATTGATTTTACAATGATATGTGTTTTTTTATTTAGTTTATGTGTGTGTGTACAGTGTGCACGATAAGTAATCAATATAATGCTTCGATTTTCAACTTCAGTAGGTTTTCTGGTTGGAAATTGAATCTAGTTAATGCATTGAGGAAGTCAAAAATCGAATTTTGATATTGATGTAATTCTGAAACAAATTACCATAGACACGTGCAATTTACAAAAAATTTCAAATCTTTTAAAGTTATTTATAGACATTCAAAGTTTTTGATCGTTTTAGCTTTTTTTTTTTATAAATGATAGTAAAATTTTATTCTTTCGGTAAAAAGCTTCAACATTTAATACAAGGGTCCAAATAAATTGTTACAACGACAGTTGGAAAATATTAAAAATTCATAGGCACTTTTTATTTTTAAAGTTTAGAGTTCAAATTTTGACAAAATATATTAATTGAAAATTTACAAATTACTTAATTGTTAAAAATTTATAAAACGTTTAATTTTAGTAAATAAGAATTGAAAATTTAAATCAAGGTTCCACGTAGGTAGTTAATTCTGTAACAAAAAAATCTAAAAATTATACACACAAAGTTTTTTTAAGTTCAAATTTGGAAATTACATATTAAATAATCAAGGATAACAATTTTAGTTATTTTAAAAGTATTATTTGTGAGTACTTAATATTTCTAGAGTATATTTTATACTATAATAGTTAATGCCGTTAATGACATATTAATATTTTATACTACATTGTATATACTATGAATGACTAGGTGAATCGCGTACATAATGAATCTGATTTGATTAATTTGGAATTTATTTTATGGGTGGGTACTGGGTACCTACATTTTTTTTTTTTTTTTTTGAAATAATAGCATTAAAAACTATAAAATATCCTAGACAGACAAATCGTTTCTGCTCAGAATCGTTTTTTGTATACAATGATATTATATCATTAAGTTCAAATTAAATACCATCCATTACAGTAACTCACTAGTAACCTACTGTACAACAGAGCGACATCTACTTTTTTTTGTTAATCTAGTTGGTCAAAAGAAAAAAAATTCTAAGTGGTTTTCAAAAAAATTCTTTTGATTTTGTTTTGTAACTCTAAAAAGAATAATCATTGAAACATGAAACTTTTACTGAATGTTTATATTAGTTTGATATCTGTAAATTATATGTTAGTATATTTTTATATTATTATTATATGTATGGTACTGCTTATCACTTATCAATATAATGACAGGTACCGAAGCGATTGTGCAAACGATACAGTATGACAATGTTCGTAATAAAGTTGTATCGCGAACTACTTATTGTCTAATAAATAAATAGTGTATAAAACAATAATGTAGTCAATAATGAAGTATTCTATAAAATATTCAGAATATTGCGAAAACTTTTTAAGCTATTTATAGGCATAAGAAAATTTAGATTTTTATTAGTATTTTTTAAAAAAATATTGAAAAAAAAATTCTGTCATAAAAATTGAAAATTTAATACAAAGTTCTTCATAAGTTATTGTTAGCAAAAATCAAAAAAAGATAAGCGTAAATTCACATTAATTTTTTATGAGCGCCTGAATTTAAAAATTTGATAAAATTCATCAAAATCCCAAAAATTAACAAATTTCATAAAAATGTATTATTTGGATCTAAGATTAGAAATATTTACCGAACGAAGAACGAATGCATTGGCAGCAGCTCCAACAGACTGAGCACACGAAGATGCACTCTACAGTGGACCGCGATTACTGACGGACTTTATCTATATTTTGTATTTGATTGTATTGTATTTATTGTATTAATATTTTATTTTTAAGGCAAAGCATCATAATTATGTATGTATGTATATGTATTAGCGTTTAATTAAACATTAATAAACGATGGCAGCAGGGGAGTAGTAATGTTCACACAGATCCTCCCCTGCTGT